TATTGTTGTTGTGTGTGTGTGTAGTAGTATATATATATATATATATATATTATTATTATTATTATATATATATATATTATTATTATATATATATATATATATATATATATATATATATATATATATAGCATTCCACACTGATGAGAAGTTTTGAAGTCTGAAACTTGTTGCCCAGGAGGGTTGTAAATGCTGTAAGCAATAGTGTCATTCCGCATCTGTGTGTATGTGATTATTTATGCGTACTTCTGTGCTGGTCACAGGGTAGTGTGCTAGGCCAATAGGTTCATAGAGTAGATTGCATTCATTATCATATATCTATTTTTACATGGATATTCACACGTATATATTTATAATTACGTATACATCTGAGAAACGTGTTTGCACCTTTAAAACTGGACAGATGTATACTTTGATAATGTTATAAAGGTTTATACAGTTGTGCCAAAACTCATACACACCATTGTTGGCGCACCTCAAACGCTACCGATGACGTGGTGGCATGATGTTGAAAATAGGTGTGTACCTCATCTAAACTCAGGCTGTATAGAGGACTATACAAGCGCTGATAGTGTTAATAGTCTTAATTCTACAACACACCCTATGTATCCCTCTCACCACAGTTTTGTACAGCACAATCACCGCGTATAGAGGGGAGAGCTTCACGCTGTCGTCCCTGTTTGTCTCCATGACCGATTTCGTGACCAACTTCTGCGGTTCTATGGTGGTGGGTATATTCTTCGCTCTGGTGACTGCTCTGATAACGAGGTACAGTACGCGCTATGAAACTTCCGTAGGCAAGGACACGTGATCATCCACACTTAAAGGGCCTTTTGCTGGCGAGCCTTTCGTATGTTTCTGACAGCTATTCTCACAATCCACCGATTGTCGACTATTTGGGCCTCCCGTAGGTAATCACGTACTGATACACACTTTTACATGCTAACTTGGTGTGGTTTTCGAGACTATTGCTGTGGTATTGTGTCTGGTTGCCTTTCGCAGAATGCAGTTGTGGAATAGGGTATTCTATACGGCAACGTCGGTACACTATCGAAACGACTGAATTTCGCCTTCTTCACCGCTTTTGACATATGTGGTGTGGCATGTTGTCTGCGTAGCTGCATTTTAACTCGACTTTGCAGCACATCATACAACGCTATCCAGAGTTTTAGCTAAGTGTGCTCGAACTGTCTGATATACGAAAGTGTTTTTTCCGGATTCCACAACAGACACATAAATATCCAGAAACATCTCATTTTGATCTGGCAGACTTAAATAGCCTAACAAATATCTCATCTCTCAAAGACTCCGACATACAGAATCATCCTATTCTTGCTCTGCCATGCCTAAAAGGTATATCACACAACGCTCCACACAAACACTCGCATATCTAAAAGCATCTCGTTACTGACCTGCTGTACTCGATCCATCGCAAAGCTCGCCAGGCATTGAAATATTGCAAATCACCCTATTTTTGATATAGTGTATTCAAGTTACCCATCTAGAGAGATTCAGAATCACCAATATCCAGAATCATATCGTTCCTATTCTAGTATACTCAAGCCATGCATCTTACACATCTCCACAGATAGTGTTATATTCAGGAATAATCTAAAATACACTACCAGTCTATCGCACACCCCTCTATACATACTCCGATATCCAGAAACATACTGTTCATAAAATTATTATACTCAAGTCACCATCTTACACACTTCAACCGGTAGTGTCATATTCAGAAACATAACATATTTGGCATAACAAACTCACGATACCCATCTTACCCATCTCCATAGATATTCCGATATCCAGAAACATCCTGTACTCGAGACGTCCCTTCTGCTGCTAATGTCGTATGCGACCTTCTTGATCGGGGAGAGTATGTCGTTGAGTGGTATCGTCGCCATTCTGTTCTGCGGCATGGCGCAGTCGCATTATACGGCGCGCAATCTCAGCGAGGAGGGCCAGCATATGTCTATGGCCATTACAGAAACGTATGGATGGGATGCGTATCTACATGCACACGTACATACGCGCATATACAAAGACTACCGCTGACGTTGTGGCAGAGTTCCTTGTATTTTACTGGGAATCGTATTAGTTGTGATGTTTGGATGCATGCACAGCAAACTTGCACTCACACGAGTGGCCCACTTTGACTAACGGCAAGCTCCTATCACTCTCCTCATCGTTCCTCTGCAGTTTGAATTTCATGGCAGAGAACTTTATTTTTTCGTATCTGGGTATTTCCCTCTTCACGTTTCCGAATCACCACTTCAAACCGGCGTTCATTACCTTGACTATAGGTATGTCATCAACTCGAGCCTTTCGTGGACAGTATGTAGCTTCAAAAGCACTTGGTGTACGTATGTTACCGTGGATCTTAGCATTTATACTTCTCTTTGTTTTAGGTACATATTAGTGTATTTTTGTGTAGGTTTACTTGAATGTATGCAGTCTGGCTATCTATATACTCATTTAATTATGTAATTGAATATATATGCAAATGGAATATATGCATAAGTGTGTATGTATTCATCGGATCGCCTATAGCGAGACAAATATGTTTGTGATGTATCTATTTTGTTATGATGTATCCATGTTCAATGTTTACATACAAATCAACGAAATTTGTATTTGTTGCAGCCTGCTCCATGTACGTATGTACGTATATACGTACACACATGAAGATATAAGCGTGTCAAAATATTCTATCGAAAACTATTGTGCATATTATGTTTGTAGTCTACTTTTGACGTCGAGGTATGTTTATTTATTTA